TAATATTATTTATTAATACTAATATATACCTGTATTTCTCTTGTGTTTCTTGCACGATATTGACCCAGAAACATCCAATCATCTTTTGGTGGGTACATTTGACTGATAGAGACCCTAAAATCTTTGAATGTTGAAGAAAAGAATTCATAATTTGCCAAAGATATCGTGTCAATCAATATCTCACTGCACAATTCAACAATCACAAATTTATTTGAGGAACATTGATTGATCAGATAGCTATCTTTACTCTCTGATATAATTGCTGAGATATGTTTTGCCCCCTCATTAGCCTTTAGTGTCAATGCACCACATCCAAATGATGCATAATTGAACCTTTCTTTTAATTTACTAATATCAGAACCATAATATGGTCCATTATTATTGACATTATTATTATTATTGATATTATTATTATCAGTATTGTCATTATTATTATTATTGATATTATTATCACCAGTATTGTCATTGTCATTATTATTATTATTATTATTATTATTATTATTATTATTATTATTATTATTATGAATATTATTATTATTATTATTATTATTATTACCAGTATTGTCATTATTACTATTATAGTTGTCAAATATAGAACCGAAGTCTCCTTCAACATCTAGTGATTCTATATATTGATAATCATCAAGGTATTGGTTATTTTTGACATTCTTTCGAGCGGTTGATTTTGGTTTAGTATTAGATCCAACATTATCTATTATTTTTGATGTTGATGATGAAGAAGTTGAAGCAGACTGTGGTGATGATGGTGATGGTGATGACGATGATGATAATGATGATGATAACAATGGAATGTTTTTCATATTATCATTGTTGTTGTTGTTGTTGTTGTTGTTGTTGTTGTTGTTGTTGTTGTTGACGTTCTCATTCAATGACGATGATGACGATGATTTTTTTATGGAAGATTCATTATTAACAACTAAAAATACCATATTACTATCATTATTGCTACTACTAATATTATTAAAACTGCTGCTAGTATTAATATTGTTAAATCCTTTGCATTGTATCTTTGTCCAAAATAAAGAGTCTATCGTGAGATTTGATGAACAATAGCCTAAACCATTGTTACTACCACTGCTATTAATATTACTATAGTTGTTGTCAAAATTCCTTGAACTAGTAATGGTATATGTTGTTAAAGCTAAAGAAGGATTGATCCAAGTTAGAAAAAGTTTTATAATGAACCAAACCCCATCCCAATACATATTATTATTTAATGTGTGAAGTATAATAAATCTGATATACGGGAGGAGTTAGTAAAGAGTCAGTATTATTAAAGTGAAATGAGGAAAGGATCAATGAGTGAAATTAAAATTTTTATTTAAAGTTTTTCTTTAACGAAATGAAAAACAAAAAATTTATTCTTTTTATTTATTTATTTATGTGATATAATATGATGTGTGGGGTTACAACTTTTCTAGAAATTTCCTTTATATATATAATTTAAATCATGCCCATAAACACAGAAATAGTAAATTTCATACAGGGTCCATCTTTTACAATTGGTGCCCGAATTCAATTGGCATATTAATATTAATATTATGTTGTAAGAAAATCTTTTCTTCGCTAAACAATCCAATAATAATAATAATATTATCTTTTTTAAATGTTGTATTCAGTTATTGCATAGTAATAGTAATAGAAATCGAAGAATAATCGAGAATATAATTGGCCAAATATCTTTGAACTCTTCGATTGCATCTATTTTTTCTATAATGACAATAAAGAAAAATTTTTTTTTTCAATGATCAATTCATTATAGTTATAAATGAATGAATTCAATACTTGAACTTTAATCGCTTGATATTTTCCTCTTTATTTTCTCATTTGAGTAAAAACTATCTAGTGCGCTAGATATGTTGATATTATTAGTATTAGCCTTAACAATGAGTTCCGAACGGGTCGGTACCCGGGTCAAATATAAATAATAATAAATAATAATAATTCAAATATATGTATAAAATAAGTCATAGATATTATGTGCATGCATGTGTCACCAATTAATAGTTCGTGAGATGGTTGTTTTTCTTCAAAGTCGAAACTTGTTAAAAAAGCTTTCTTGGATTTATATACAATGCTTGGACAGAAGAATCGGACGCACTAAATGTCTTTATTACACAAAAACGTACATAATAAGTATACAAAAGATTCATAGCTTAGGTTCCGAATATCATGCGTATAAAATTTTATTTCCTAGGACTTGAGCAATAAACACGATCATTTTTAGAAAAAAATTAAATTTTTTGACAAGACTATAATAATAATAACATGTTTTGAAATGATACAGTGCGGAATCTATACTCAAAAGTTAAGATTTTGAAATATTATGTGATCCACACATTGGATTTTAAAAAACCCACCACCATTAATTTAGCTTTAAAAGGGAGTCTATTAATCTAAAAAAAAAATTTGTCTCAAATTTTCATTTCATAGTATTAGTATATAGTCGCAGATCAAGTGTCATTCAATATAAACGTTACACGAATAAAATTATTATCGTCCATTTCAAAAAAAAAATCTCCATTTTTCATATAGCAAGTGATTTTCAACCATAATAAAATTTTTAGAGCCAGACTAGGACTTTTAACAACAGTTAAAAGAAAAGGCTAGCTTAAATATTGGCTATTATACGCTAGGTCGGAAACGTTTCTTTTCTTCACACTTATTTTAAGATTTTCTTCCAACTATATAGTATGCAGACTAAAACAAATTCAGCGACAATCGTGCCAAAGTGTTTCCTACAAAGTCACTTATAACTATTTGAAAGGTTGTGTTAGAAAAATTTTGACTTTAATTGTAAGATACTGATTTATAATTATTTATAGGTTATTAATTTATTATATTAATTGATGAAATGAAACTATCATAGCAACACTATAATAGAAATGCTTAAAAGTTAAGTAGCCTATTGCTAGCTTGTATATAAAAACAAAACTTGGTTTTTATAAGGATAATCTGTGCTTATTATTAATATTATTTATTAGTATATAAAATTGTTACACGATCACTTAGATCTTATATACATCGGAATTAATGAGAGTGAATATAACAAACAAACCTTGGTTTTTACAACTATAATCTGTGCTCATTATTAATATCATCTATTAAATATGTAAATAAAAGTCATTCTAAATCGTTATACTTGATGGATGTTTTAACAATTATTCATAGTTATATAGCAGTTGATTGAAATGTTAAAACCAAGATCTATGAAGCTTGCAATTAAAACCATTAATAATCATTAATGAAACTTTAATCAAAAATCAACAAATCTTTCTTTTCTTTAACTGGCATTTTGTTGATAGCCATCTTGAAAGAAGCCCATTACACGAATTGAAATATTAAATAAATATCACCAAATTGATAAATTGCTTGATACAACTTTTTAATTCATCAAGTGACATATATATATTATTATGTCAATTTAGGTAAAAATGTTTCATTATAAAAAAAAAATTAATAAACAAATTCTAAAATAAATATTTAAAGCTTGAAATTAGAACTTACTATTGCATTAATTATTATTATGTAAAAAAAAAATCAAGTCCAAAGATTGAACAAATTTCTTAATTTATTATTATATTATAGAACTTATAGAGCTGGTAGACCAACTTCACATTAAGATTTTCTTCGAGTCTTATTTGTTTACCCTGGCAAAAAATATGTCAAAATAAAGGGTTTTCCATATATTTTGATTTTTTATAATTCAAGGAACAATCTTGGTTAAATCGGGTAGGTTTGTGTATACCAGAGTGATTTTTTTCTTCGATTTTACATATAAAATTATGCACAAAGATCATTAATTTTATATATGAGTGACACTTGACCCCCTGTAAATCCGCAATGTCCTGCGACTGTTAATGCGTTTGGTTAATAAAATTTTGAACTATATAAGGCGTAACATCTCCAATTATTAAAATGATCATCGTGTGGTCGGATATTTTGTTTTTTTGAGGATTCTGTCACCTTTGAAATAATAATAAAAATATTTTTAACAATAGTTAATATCTGTGTGTGTGTATATATATTATTTCTTTATTCATTTATAACCTAGTTTGGTTTCCTTTGAGGATTGATTACCTTTATTGTATAAATTATAAATATGTTTTGAAATTGAAAAAATTCAGTACATGTTGAAATCCTTCAAAATCAATATAATCTCCCTTGATATTTTTGTCCAAGCCTTTTAACTAATGAAAAGTATCTTCAAGAAAAACAAGTAGTTTTTCTATTTAAAAAAGGTCAAATTTGTCACTATGTAATAAACGAAAGTCCATTATGCTGTTGAAACTGTCATTTTCTTTTGCAGTGTTTAATCTCTGCGATTGGCATCTTTTGAATATTGGGAATCTTATTTATTTTGTTATTTTAATTATAAATGTCGATCCTTTCACTCCTTCGTTTTCCCACTTTCGACGATAGGTCGTAGGAACTAATCAATAGCTATCAAATATAAACTCTATTTTTTTCAAATAAGCATTCAATATTTTCCTATTTAGCTTTAAAGTTATAAAGTTATTGATGGGTTATATAGTCGCACCGGTCGTATTATTATTATAAATTTGTAGAAAGCGAGAAAAAAACTATTATTTTTATTTATTATTTAATAAATTTAACTTTAATTCTTTTTAAATAATAAAATAAAATCGCTGGGAAATTTTGTAAATCTAAAATAAGTCAACAATCTATTATAAAGAATTATAATCTTTTTTTTTTTGTACAAAAATAATATTAAATTATAATTAATAATTAAATTTAAAAATAAATACTAAATGTATTTGTGTGTGAGTGGTGGTGAGTATATAAAATGGTTTAAAATGCTAAAATGAATAAATAAATATTAAAATAAATAAACGTTTGAAAATTAAAATGATTAACAAATAATAATAATAACAAATAACACTGAAAAAAAATATTTTACAAAAAAAATTATATATTATTATTATTATTTAATTAATAGTTTTTTAACAAAACAGTTTTCAAACATTATTTTCTCTAATATCTATTTCAACTGCCGTGACAGCTGGTATACCTTTGTTTAACACGTATAAATAATGATGACGACCAGGTGGTAATGTGTTTGAATTTGGTGGCATAGTAAGATCAACAGCAAAGCCACCGTCAATTCGTATTAATTGTTGAATCTTTAATAGTATTATTCTTGATGACATATGAGTTGAATGAGTAATGAAGCCCATGTGTACTATTGAAGCGGTAAATTGTGGTTCTTCATCATCAGTCTCAACTATCACAGTTATCACCTGACCGTACGAAACTCTTGTTTTAATATGGACGGCATTCAAATCACTTGTACCAGCTACTGATTTAATTTCAACCTGATCGGCTCCAGTTAATAAATACGGCGGTGTAAATATTTCCACGCGGTACTCTGTTGGGTATTCACAAGTGTCACAATAACTAGGATTTGGATTGCTTCCGGCAACAAAAATAGTACTATCTGGCAACAAACTTGCGACTGAGTGGTAAACACGTACTAATGGATCTTCGGCTAGCACTCTCCATCTGTTAGCCTCGTCGGCTTTCGGATCGTATATTAGGGGTGCTTTTTGTGGAAGACTGGCTGTGTGAAGTCTGTTGTCAAATGGGCCCTTATCCCAACCTGCATAACCTTGACCAGCGCCATTTATAAACATTAAAGTGCCATCAGGCAAGTGTATAGTGTCACCCATTATTCTACCATTTGGCATGTTACCAAAAGGTTCCAATTTCCAAACCGGATTCGGATCTGTGATATTAACTCTTGCACAATCATTTGCGGCCGGTGAATCCGGTACCAGAATATCAGCACTACCACCACCGCAAATTATAAATTCGGCAGATGTATAATTGTCTTCATAGGACAATGGAAGCAAAGCGGTTGAACCGGTTAATGGATAGTAACGAGGACCACCGGGTATGTCAGGTAATTTTTTTACAGTTGATCTACTAACATAATCCCATATTTCAGCTTTGTTGTTTGCAGCTAAAAATAACCATGTTTGTTCTTTAGGACCAGGCAGTACCGTGACAGTTGGATATAAATTATACGGAAAGCTATATATAAAAATAGACAGAGATAGAGGGATAATGAAAATTATTGATTGATAAAATTTTAATTACAAACAATTATGTATGAATAATACAATGTACATATAATATAATACATACGTTTCAATAAGAAATTCTACTTCATAATCAATGGGAGTATCGTCTTTTGGTACAGTTTCAAAAGAAAGATTCTCTAATTCGTGCGTATTTATTTTTGTCGCTCTTTTTGAACCACCAAAATTAAGTAATCCTCCATTAGGTAAACTATTCATTTATAAAAAATTTATTAGTATACTAGCGATAGTAATGATTATAATCAGATAAATATTTAATGATATTATTTACCTAACCATAGTATTATACCATCTAGGAGAATTCATAAAATTTGGGTATTCAGTCCAATCACATTTATTGTCATCACATGGTCTGTACATTCTTAATGATTGAAACCCTTCTTCATGTCTGAACTATTAATTATAACAATAATAATAATTATTATTTATTATTATTATTGTAATGATGAATTAAGTTATGGATTTGTGAAAATGAAATTTATGTGAATTTGCAATTCACATGTTAAATTAATCAGAATTTCATATCCAAACACCCCACCCCAAATTTTGATTATAGATTTCAATTTCACATACAACAGATTAATTGATATACCAATACATACAGTATTTTCAGCACCACCAGTTTCTATCAAAGTACCATTTTCAAGAAAAGAGCCGGCCGAACAAAAAGTATTTGTGTTTAAAGTCAATATCCTAAAAGTATTTGTTACAAGATCATATTCGGTTGTATAAGCATAACTTTCATCTGGATATTTTGCTTCTGGATTTTTTTGAGCTAATAAGAAAAATCAAAAAAAAGAAATTATTTAAATAAGCTTCATAATTATTATTAGTTAGATCCGGATCTATTTATATCTATATTTGTTTACCTTTGTCGATAATTAACATTTTAGTGGGACGAACTAGTACACAATGCATCGCGGATACACCAGTTCTACAAAATAATGTTCATTAAAATAAATTATATTTTTAAAAATTCATAATAATTATAGATATTTATTTTACCTTCCAACTTCCTCCCATGTACCTTTAATGCTATTATCAATAGTATTTTGATTTGTTTGCGCAGCTCTCTCTAAAAGGAAAATTTCAAATCAGTCAAGCCAATTACTTCTCTACTTTGCATACAATAAGAATAATAAATACCTTTTAGTAAAGGAGCAGCAGAACTTATTGAAACGTTTGACATTAACGATATTATTATTATTATAGATATGATTGAATATGATAATGACGATTTTGTAGTTGTTTTCATTATTATTTTTATATTTTTTGAGCTTTCTGAAATCCAGCTTCCCATAGTTTTCATATTTTTTTGTAATAATATTTATATAATATTTTGTAATTTTTTTTTTCTAGAAAAAATAAAATATTTATTATTATTTATAAGATAAAAAAAAAATAGATTGGAGAAATGAAATACGAGAAAGGGAAGTACGAAGAAAGGCAAGAAAGGCAAGAAAGAAAGAAAAAAAATTCTATTCTCGGGGAATAAAGGCTTTATAAATAAAAACGAATGTGAATTGTTAAGAGAATGTTTTTAATATTAGGATGTGTGTATTATATATATATATATATACGTATATATACTTACCAAATATATAATATATATAAAAATTATTTATTATGAATATTATGAAACGTACATATAATATTTACTTTACCTTGGCAAAAATTAATTAATTATTGTTCCTTTTTTAAAAAATAATAAAAATTACAAATATTTTGACGTTAAAGAGAAATTTAAAAAAAAAGAAAAAAAGATTTTTATGATAAATAATTAATGATAAAATATTTAATATTTAATAATTGATATTTAATATTTAATATTTAATATTTAAATATTTAATAATTAATAATATTTTAATATTAATATATTTAATAAAAAAAATAATAAATTATTTTGCGATCATTAGAATCTTTTTTTCTTTTTTTTGAAAAAAAAAAGTTCAAAGTTGCGTTTTGCAAGTATTTATTTATTTTTTGATATGTTATGCCAACGAAGAAGATTTATTATTTATGCTATAAATTTATTTGTTTATTTTTTATTATTGTCGTGTATTATTATTGTTATGCATATAAGAATAATTAAAAAAGTTTATTTTGTTAAAAAGTTATACTAAAAGTTTTTGCATTTAAATATTAATATGATAATCTTAAATAAATGTTCAATCGGATATTTGTTTATTTAAATTAATTATTACTATTTATAGAATCAATTTGTTTTGTTTATTTATATATTACCACTCTCGTTACATAAAGTCTTCTTTATTCATTCAATTTTTTTTTAGAAATATAAGTCATACGATTTAAGTCATACGGTTAAAGTCATACGATTTTATGTGTTGAGGGGGAGAGCAATAAAAATTTATCTCGTATCGATTATACAATATAATAATAATAACGTGAAGATTTATGATGAGAATTATGTATGATGGATGTGTTCGTTCATTCGTTCATTCATGCCATGAAGGAATCAACAATCATCCGATTTAAATTTGCCGAGAATGATTTTGGAAAACACAAATTTCTAAGAAATTATGAAATGAACGACTACTGGTATAAAATTTTTATAGGCATGTGTGTGCGTGATAAATTAATATGGATATTGATAACAGTTAAAATCTCGATTTTTATTTTTCCTAATATAAACAAATCAACAAACTATTTATTCTTAACCAATTAAAGTAATAATTAATTAGATGATCACCTGATGATAATCATGATATATTAATATACATATATGCAAGCTAAATTGCTAATTGCCATATTTATCTTCCCCAAAACTTTAAATAAAAATGTTACTTGCCAAGAAAAGTTATTTTCTAAATTTCAATTGTGTACTACTTTGTGCATATATATATATATATACGACGAAATCTACAGTTAAAAAATCCACCCATAAATTTGGTTACACGTGTTTTTTTAAGAAATCTCATTTTTCTACTATGCAAACGGGGGCCCAATTTTTTCACCAATTATATAATTCTTGTATTATTGAGTAAAATAAAAAAACACCTGGCCCCATATATATTTTTATATAAACAATTATATAGTAGAAAGTAGGAGTAGGGGTTTTCTGAAAAAAGGTCTCACCAGCATAGTGGAAGTTTGTTATTACACGAAATGTTATATAGAACCCGTTGCTCCTGAAACTTTACCAGTATATAGTTGTTACCTCTAAATTGGAGATCAAATTCAAATCCAATTTATCACTTACTTTTTATTGCCAGAATGTTTGCCGTGTATTGTAAGGTTACATCGCACAATATAAAAAATTGATGTAACATTTCAAATTTCCACTATGCTGGTTTCACCGAAATTGTTTAAATATATCATAATTTTTATATGGGATTAAACAGTGACATTGTTTCCCAAGCCAAGAAATAAAACTCGCTGCGCATTTAACAATAGTAAACTGGTTTTTATTTATTACAAAAAAAATAAATAAAATTAAATTCTTTTACTTCAATTGCTTTTTATTAATTTTAAAATTATGTGTAATCTTCCTCTGTTGACTGTGACTCATCATCACAGCCAACTTCTTGTACAAATGTAAGAAGATGTAGACAATCCTGGGATGAATTCACTCAAGAGCTCACAAACTGGTGTTGGTTGTCCTTAATAAGGTTTCCGGCCGAAACTCTTTCAATTAGTAGCTGAAATTGCCGAAACACTTTGGGCAAAAATAACTTTTTTATAAGCCCAAAATATTTTTTGTTATTAGCCGAAATTGGGCGAAATTACTTTAAAGTTGTTTAAGTTAAAATATGTAGTTTTTTAATGTTCATGTTATAAAAAATACTGAGAAGCCCAAATTGCCCAAACTAGTTTGGGCTTTGATAAAACAGTTTGGACCGGAAACCTTAGTCCTTAACAAATATTAATGAATCACAGTGCTCAAGTCAATGGGATGACTCTAATCTAATACATGTAGCAGCATATCGAATAATTATACATTGAAATTTAGATCAAAAAAGACAAAACATATAATTCCATCAAGAGAAAAGAGGAGCATTCCTTGATGGTGTTAGATTAAGGCTGATAACCAAGCTCCTAAATTTTCAGTAGTTGAAGAGAATAGAGATGCTAGCATAGTTGTGGCAAATCAATCATGATCTTTTTTATGTTGTGAAACTCAATTTAAAAATAGAAAAAAGTTGAATGACTGCGCACAAAATCCTACAGTCATAACAAATGTGCGGGACTGTCCACCTAAATTCGTTGTGACTATATTAGGAGGGATCTTAGCTATAATCACTGGCCCGACTATATGATTATAGAGAGTCTGACTGTACTTATTTTACAATTAAAATATTCTTATTTTTTACAGTAATAGAAATATCCTAATTATATACTTAAAATATATACCTCTGAATTTTAATGATTCTCAAAATATACTTATTTTCTTGATTTTGCAATTTACTTTATATAACCTTAAAACATACTTGAATTTAAAATACAAATAATGAAATTATTCTTTTTGCATCTAAAGAATTGACAATCCAATTTCACTTCTGACTGATAAATGAATGTAGATGACTGAACTAATGATTTATTTGATTAAATTACACAACAAGGGTATTAGCGTCAAACAAGGTATCCTATTATAAAATTGATAAATTTTAGAATGTCCAATAAAAATTTTTGGAAATAGGCCATTTTCCAGTTGCACATTTTTAATAATATTAATACAAATTCTTCATTTGAATTATTCGTTTAGTTTTATCGAATTGTCCATTTTATTCGTTTTATTCGTTTTATTCGTTTTATTCGTTTTATTCGTTTTATTCGTTTTATTCGAATTATTCGGTTTATTCGGTTTATTCGTTTTACTGGTTTTATTCGGTTTTATTCGTTTTATTCGTTTTATTCGTTTTACTCGTTTTATTCGTTTTATTCGGTTTAATCGTTTTATTCGTTTTAATCGTTTTAATCGTTTTATTCGGTTCATTCATTTTATTCGTTTTATAAAATATTAATTCACAGTTTGATGCAACAAATTCTATATTAATATTAATATTATTGTTAAGGGATTTTAACTATTTGTAAAATTATAAATAAGGCTTATTTCCTTTAACAAGATAATATAAATTACAATAATTATATTTAATAATCTATATTACTACTACTATAGCTACTAGTACATGACTTAAGAAAATGGCAATTATTCCTATTTATTATCATCACTGTATAAAAGGACTACAAAAAGAAATTATTTTATTTGGTAAATGTTTTTGAAGATTTCAGACTTCTGCAGAATACATCACATAAAGTATCATTAAAAAATAGGTGCTAATCAAAGACAGTATAATTAATAACAGTTGACTTATGAGCAAACAGCATATGGATCTTTAAGAAATGTTGGTTAATTTTATTTCACTCACTCTTTCATTCATCTATTCATTAACTAAAAGAAAATGCGTAACTTCAAAAAACAGATAATGGGGAAGCATAACATATTTAATAGTAGTAGATAATGAATAATATTACTACGAATAACTTATTGTATATAAAATCATATTAATATTTGTTTTTTTCAAAAAAACAGATCTACCAATTAACAATGGGATTGTATTATTGTTCAAAGTATAAGAGCATTGACAAGCATGGTGGACATTCCTTTTATATTATTTATATTATGTCAATCATTTTTCAATTGTTTTAGAATAAACGATGGGTTACACTTATGAGATGGGCACAAGTACACTAAATAACAACCTTTCAAATTTTACAAGTATACTCTTTCACTTCAATATTCCTGGATCCACTCGGATCCATTCGAAGTAACAATTTTTATTTCTTGATTTACAAGTCATTACTAAAATGCCCATTGGTTTTTGTTCTGTTTGCAAAATAGAAAAAGATGACTCTAAATGGCAAAATATTTCAGAACAAGGAAAAGAAAAAGCTGAACTAGTAGGTTATTAATTAAATATAGGTGAAAGAATATGTTCTAAATGCTATAATTCTCATATAGCATATGATAGACATAATAGATATAAAAAAAAAATCTGAAGATGCACCATATAAAATAAGAAAACCAATTGAAATGGAAGTAGAAGCAAATACTAGTTTACAAAATCAAATTATAGAATTAAAAGCAGAATTAGAAAAGATTACTAGACCATCAAATCAACATATTAAAGGTACATATATTAAATTAAATAAATTAATTTTTAGATGGCATTCAATTTTCTGATTTTTTAACGACCAAATAAAAAGACTTTCTTCTGTTTTATACAAGTATCAACATTGTGAGAAAAATGTAATTATTAATGATCCTGAGGAATTTGTAAAAATGATTGAAGAAAGAGATCCTTTGTTAAAAGGCTTTTTTGATATGCTATATCAAAGCATGAACCCTTCTTCAAAAAATTACCTTACAGAAATAAGCCTAAAAAGAAAAGTAATGGTTCTCTGTTACCAAATAGCTAGCCTTAGAAAAAGCATGTCAGTTCAGTCAAAAATCAAATAGCTCTATATATGTCAAATACTGGTACATCTACATCAGGTATTGATAATTGCATATTAATTTGTGGCCATGAATATCATTATCAATGTCTTCAAAATCTACAGTTTAAATGTCAACATTGTCTTGATTATTTATTGAATGGCATTGAGTATTTAGGAAATTTATATAATAATAGATTAGAAAGTTTAGACAAACACATCCATATTAGATGAAGAAGATGAAGAGGAGGATGAAAATACTATAGGTAATGAAGATAATATTAATTTGGAGGGGTCTGAAGAATTAATTTTAAAAGGGGATTTAAATCTTGATCAATCTTTAAAAAACACGTTGTATGCATTTCAACAAAATTAAATGAATTTTTCTGTGTAACATTTTATGATTTTGTGGAACAAATGAATGTCCACCATGCTGCACTGACATATGGGTTCCATCCTATAGTTGGCTCGGTCTAAAGACCTCCTAAGTTTTGCATAAATTTTAAAAGTATAGAAGTCACTTTCTGTCCTATCTTTTAAAAAAATAACGTTATTAGTTGATAGAATAGGTCTTTAGTTTTAATGTAATAATGAGATATTCTCAAAAAAATCATTTGTTGTAGAGTTCTATTCTTTTTTAGAACATGTACTTTACTATGTTCACGAGAAATTTGGCCACTAGGATCATTACTAAATTTAGACCGAACTACAAAAATCATTTCTAAATTTAGACTAATACACGACCATCATATCTAAATTTGGCAGTACGAAATAAATTTTTAAACCCAAAATCACGTGAAGTCCTATTTTCAAAAATTTTTATTGCATTTTTGAACAAATTACAGAATTGCTATTTTTGAAATTTGGCCACGTGGCGCAGAAATAGGAGGTCTTTAGACCGAGCCAACCATACACCTTCTACTACTACTACACCTACTACTACTACTACTACTACTACTACTACTACTACTACTACTACTACTACTACTACTACTACTACTACTACTACTACT